TTCAGTTCAGTAGGGCAACATGGGGCAGCGCGCCCCCACTTTTTTTAGACTAAATTTTTGATGAAGTTTTAATTGATACGAGGTGGGTCTTTGTTTTGTTTAAAGATACAATTAATGAGGAATGTATGATGTGAATTAGACGCCTATATGTTTATTCAGTTTTTAATGAAACACTATTTTGTAAAAAGTGTCAAAATGGGCCCATTGCCCCACCCCTGGGGCAATGGGCCCATGGGCTTGGGGCAAGGCGCCCACCCTTGGTCCCTTGACCACAAATGCATATTTTTCGTTTAAAAATGAAAAAGCAACACTTTACAGTTAAAAATAAGAAAATGTAATAAAAAAATATGGCATTCACTCATTTATTAACAACTCAAAAAATCATATACTTAACTTGAAAAAATATACTCTTGGCTTAAAAAATCTATCACTGACGTGAAGAAAAATATTTCATTGACATAAAAATATATATCCTTGACTTAAAAAATGTATCCTTGCGGTAAAAAATTCGTCCTTGACATGAAAAAATGTATCCTTGACTAGAAAAAATATATTTAGTTGATCAGAAAAAAACTTTGTTCCAGTTTCGTCCATAATCCAGATATTATGTGCAGAGAATTCGTACCAAATCGTGATTTCAGCCAACACCATAAAAACTCGTCAACTTTTGGCTCATTGGTGTTGACTGAAATCAACTATTGGCAAGGCAAGAGTCAATAACTCGATAAGAGGTCAAATACGCATAACTAGAAACTAAACCTGCTGCCTTGAGGCGGCAAATCAAAAATCATGCAATGTGAAGTGTAATTTGTAATTCAAAAAGCTCGTCAATGTTTGAAAAGGTCATTGAGACAAATCTAATGATGTATAACACAAGACTTCACTATGGGCCCTTTGCCCCGTGACACGCGTGGGCCCGTTGCCCTACTAGGTATCATTTCTATTTATATCGTGTCAACATTTTATTTTAAAAGCTAATAGTCTAAACTTGATCTCAAAATTATCCCTATAAATATTACTTTGAAAATATAATTCACAGAAATTTCATAAGCTTCATCTACAGTAATCGAAAAAAATTTTATGTAGCAGCAAAAAATTGTTATCTGGACTAAAGCAGTTATTCACAAATAACTTAATAACGCAAACACTTAGCAAAACGTAAATCCGTACACTTAATCCCAGTGAAACTGTCGACCGGCGGTAGAGAACACGGACCAATATCTGCCATACTTGGCGAGAAACCCGCTATGGGCCCATGACCCGCAGTGGGCTCGCTGCCCCATGTTACCCTATTTTCCGGCATGATTTTACAGAGGCATCTCTTATATGTGCACCATTACAGAGTTTCACGCCTTAACAAGACTCGGGCAACAATACGAGAGACGGACAATCTACCAGCAGCCTTTGTGATGGGTTAATGACTGCAGTGCATGGCTGATGTATGTCTGACTCCGACTGCAAAGTCCAGTCTAGACATCAGGCTGCTACGCTACACCAGAATGTACATTGCATTTATCCAAGAGTAGAATGATACTTAGACGCAAAATAGACAATTTATCTCATGTAATTAAATTTCTGGATTCATGGTTAAACGCTGCATTGTTGGACTTGGGAATAGGAATTACGTTTTTCCACGTCGAGGTGCTGATATCTAAGCGGTGGAGTGTTTCGTGGCATACATATATGCATGATATGATGAAATTTATATTTGCAGTGAGTGAGGATGATTTATAGCTTCCTTTAATTTAAAATGCAGAACGCGGATTCCCAAAAGGTAATCATAATAAAGATGCATACTGAAAAATCCTTGAACAATTCTACTGCACCTACTAAAATGAATTTTTTGTTTAAGCTAGAATTCGACGGTTTACCACTTCAGTAGTAAGCTTGGTGTTGATTCACAAAAAATTAACCGCGGTTGTGTTGGGAATGAAACGTGGAAATAATGATTGCGCTTCGATGGAAATCATCCAATGCGAAAACCGTTCAATTTCAAATTTATGAATATGATCATAAATTCGATATAATATTAATAATGCGCAGAAATGATCATGAATTTAGATTTCGTTAGTACCAAATGCGTTTTGCCACATATCCTGTATTGATACTTGATATTTCAACTGCTTTCAAAAATGTATTCAATTTACATACAGTGAATAGACAATATAATGAAAACACCTGAGATATCCACAAAATATAATTTAGTATGGTGTAGGTCTACCTTTTGCAGCGATTACAGCCTCAATTTTCCGAGGTATTGATTCATACAAATTGTGAATTGTTTCCAAGAAAATTTTAACCCATTATTCAGCTGAAACTCCTTCCAGCTCTTGTAAAGACGATGACGACAGGAATCGACTTTTGACTTGCATCTCGCAAATCAACCATAATGGTTCGATAATATTCATGCCTGGTGGTTGTGGTGGCGAAATGAGATGCTCAACTTCACTTGAATGTTCCTCGTGCCATTTTTTAATAATTTCAGGTTTATGGATCGGTGCATTATCATATTGATAGCCTGCGTTCCTCTTCGGAAGAGAGCTTGAACCTTTGTATGAACTTGGTCCTCCAAAATTCCTAAATAGTCACGGCTGTTAATTCTTCCTAGAAGAGAAATCGTTGGTCCGTCGGATTTCCAAGAAATAGAACCCCAGATCAGCACATGTCCCCCGCCATGTTTTACGGTTGGGAGGAGGCAAACGGAATCAAATGACTCTTTTGGCTGTCTCATGACGTAAACTGGGCCAGAGGTTGGAAATGAAGTAAACGGTGATTCGTCAGAGAAAATCACATTTTCCATAGCTCGAGGGACAAATTCTGGAGGTTTTAACACCACTCTAAACGCTTTAGAGCATTTGTATTTGAACACAGAGATCGTATAATTGCTATTCTTCCATAGAATCCAGATCTGTATAGCTCTCGGCTGAAAATCTTTATGGAAACTGGGTTTTGTTGGTGTCCATTGAGGTTTGCAGTAATTTTAACAGCCGTGTTCTTTCGATTGTCCCTCACAATTTGGTTTAGGCACTGACGGTCTCCCTCAGACAAATTCGACTTTCGGCCAGAACTGTGCTTTGCTGAGGACGTTTTTCCTTCTCTTTCAAAGCAGTCATTACTTTTGAGACCGCACCTCTAGAAACATTAAGCGTTCGGGAAGTTTCTGCCACACTAGCATATGTCATACGGGCACCAACAATTTGGCCTCTCCGACAGTCAAAGAAGTGTGCTATCGATGGTAAAAATATTCTGGAACTCTTCGCAAAAAGCTCTTCTTTTTCCTCGGACAAAGCGAATACATAAATCTATCGCCGAGCTTAGCCATCTCAAACGTGATCTTTCTGCACCGGTCTAACATGAAAACTTTCTTTGCATTCCAAAATAGTTGATACATGTACAAGGAATATTTCACTTATTTGTGCGTATTTTTCCTTTATATTTTTCCCGAATAGGTCGCTTCGGATGTTTTTGGATCAGAATGCTCGTCTTGTTATGTTTTTATTGTAATGCATAGAAAAATTTGATCAGTCATAATTTTTTTTGTTAAATAAATTCTTCGAAAATATTCGCTTATTTTCGAAGTGGTTGTTCGCACCGTATTCCCATCTCAGTTAAAACCATCAGTTTTAATTGAAAAAATAAATAGTTAAATTTAGCTCCGTTAAATATTGCTCTTAAATATATTCTATCTACTGACGCATAATTTTTCTCTTCTTAGAATCAAATTTCTCCTTTCATAGAAATCATTTGATGTTAATAAATAAAATAATTCTCAGAATTAGGCAACAACAAACTTTTTCAGCGTTTTACTGCATTTTTGCAGTATGATAAAAAATGACACGTTTCTGTATTTCAGCCCTGACACAACAATTTAAGACGAGAAAAATTGCACCACTTCTCACAGTATAATGATAGGTAACATGTTTCCTAAATCTACCCTTAGTTTGAAATTTAAGACCTAAACTAAGCAAGCAACATCAGTTACAAACCACTTTCTGGAAGCCTGCGCCTCTCACCAATACCAGTGTAGTGTCGGGGAGACGGGCGCTGTAGAGCCGCCGTGTCGTCATTCCAAGTGCCCTGAGTCTCGCAGTGATCAGATTACCGGGCTCATTGTCCGCTCAGGCTAACCCTGAAAGCCCTAGTGTCCCGTGCCGTTATTGCTCGGAATGAGCAGATTTCGAGACATTCTAAGGCATCATTGCAAGTGACAAGGACCTAAGACGTCCTATTGGGGCTTTGAAAATAGGGAAATGTTTCTCGAACGTTGCCGACTGCAGAGAGTTCGTCACTCAGCGAATGGAATAAATTATTTTATAGACATTTGTTCGAAAAATTAACATGAAATACAAACAAAATATTTCAACTCATGCAAAGAAGTAGTTCGAGAAGCGAAATTTTTGAAAGAATAGGTACCTAGCTATAAATGATGAAGTAGGACAGAATTTGGAGATGTGGCGGCAACGCTGTGATTTGAAGTTAAAAAATATCTGATGCAAATGGCTGGAGCTCCTCTTAATTTATGCGCTTGCACGGGAAATACGCATTATTTGCTCCATGCTCTGCATGGAATCCCAAATGCATTATTCATGAGGACGGTTACAATTCTTTTCAATTATAAAGCTTGGCTAGTTATTTACCTCAGTACATTTTTAGTATTTGGACCGGAACTGAAACTTGATTGTTACTCATTTCAAATATTCTAACTTTGACTACGTAAACTCGGACAATCTAATAATATTCATTGGGAAAATTTTTGAAAGTTTTTATTTAATGCTCAATCTGTAACTTCAGGCAATCAACGAAGATATATCGGAAATTTAAATTAGTGGTCTCCCCGAATAATATCTAAATATTCGGAGCTGTCTAAATAAATATCTTAAAAATTCTGCTAAAGTTACATAAGAAAACATTTTTCGAAATAATGATTAGTCATGTTTAGCAGAATAGAACAGAGCTTGAATAAGAATAACAATATTTCAAGAGATTATTTTTTATTTCAGCGACAACTCGAGTCCACCGCGTCGGGGTGTCGGGGTCGAGCGTTGCGCTGCCTTGCCAGCTCCCGAAGCTTCCAGCGGCTCCAGCACTGGTGTTGTGGTACAAAGATTTATCCACTAAACCTTTCTACAGGTGAGTGATGCGTACTAAAATACTGGATAGTTTACTGAACACTGGTGTTGTGGTACAAAGATTTATCGACTAAACCTTTCTACAGGTGAGTGATGCGTACTAAAATACTGGATAGTTTACTGAACACTGGTGTTGTGGTACAAAGATTCATCGACTAAACCTTTCTACAGGTGAGTGATGCGTCCTGATATACTGGATAGTTTACTGAACTTATAAACCTTTCTACAGGTGATTGATGCTTACTGATATACTGGATAGTTTACTGAACTTATAAACCTTTCTACAGGTGAGTGATGCTTACTGATATACTGGATAGCTTACTGAACACTGGTGTTGTGGTACAAAGATTCGTCGACTAAACCTTTCTACAGGTGAGTGATGCGTCATGATATACTGGATAGTTTACTGAACTTATAAACCTTTCTACAGGTGAGTGATGCGTACTGAAATACTGGATAGTTTACTGAACATATAAACCTTTCTACAGGTGAGTGATGCGTCCTGATATACTGGATAGTTTACTGAACTTATAAACCCTTCTACGGGTGATTGATGCTTACTGATATACTGGATAGTTTACTGAACTTATAAACCTTTCTACAGGTGAGTGATGCGTACTAAAATACTGGATAGTTTACTGAACACTGGTGTTGTGGTACAAAGATTCATCGACTAAACCTTTCTACAGGTGAGTGATGCGTACTAAAATACTGGATAGTTTACTGAACACTGGTGTTGTGGTACAAAGATTCGTCCACTAAACCTTTCTACAGGTGAGTGATGCGTACTAAAATACTGGATAGTTTACTGAACACTGGTGTTGTGGTACAAAGATTCGTCCACTAAACCTTTCTACAGGTGAGTGATGCGTACTGATATACTGAATAGTTTACTGGAAATTTCTTAACAAGTAGTGTGGTGCAGGTACTAGATTTTTTAGTTAATTCGTCAACGAGGGAGTCATGCAGTTCTGTAATCATGATCTTATATCAAGCCCTAGGTTCTTAAGGTGGGTACTGAACTTGGGTACGCTGGCTTCTTTCTTAGCCCTGCAGCTAGTGAGTCATGCAGCTTGCTGCTCACTATATCCTGTCATTTTTTTCTGGAAATATCCGTTGTTCGGTACCCTGAATCTTCTACCAAGCACTGTTTACGTTGTCCAAGTCTAACTGGCGATGTCATCTGATATGGAATGCTGCATCATACAGATAGTCTAGATCTCGATTGGATCAAAAACTTTCGACGCACATATGCTTTGAATGTTTTCAGCTCACTTGCATTTAGATTTCCTTTATATTATTAATAATAATAATATTTATACTAATATAATTAATTAATAATGATTACATAATTTAATATCTTCCCGAGCAGTTTTGACGGCCGACTGGACGCAGGTACAGGCAGCCATAAAATCCACGACGCTTCCCCTCTCGGAACCCGCACATCTTTCTCGCCGCTCTATCGCAGGGAGCCATATGAGGCATGTTATTTATTATACGTACAAAATGTATAGATCAAACAAACAAAAATTCATGGTGAATTATCTTCTTTAAGGACTTTGAATTTGATTTGTGGCACACAAGCATGTTTTATATAGCAATTTTAAACTATGAACATTGCTGTAACCATCAATTCAAGCCCTACGCTCAATCGCAGGGAGCCTTTTGAGGCATGTTATTCATCACGTACGCAATGTATAGATCAAACAAGCAAAAATTCATGATGAATTATCTTCTAAAAGGACTTTGAATTAAATTTTTCGCACACCAGCATGTTTTATATGGGAATTTTGAACTATGAACATTGCTCTACCCATCAGTAATTTAAGACCGAACCCTCGCACACGTAAACCGTAATACTCAATTAAAAAGGCGAAAAAGAGATTTCATGCCCCAGAACTAAGAAAAATAATTATAAAGGTCAAAGTTTTTCCAATGCACAGACTTCTAATTATACGCAGAATGTGAATCGCGCAGAAAAGTACCGTCAATTCATCATCTGTTCATACAAATGGCGCTAATTTCATTATTTGGCTTATGTTGGACGTTCTTCTCCCAAAAAAATATTCAGTGCTGAAATGGCCGTATTGTTTCCAGAACGCCAACACATTTCTTTCTTCCCCCAGAAAAATATAAACATTTAAGTGAGCTATTAAGTGGCCCCAGAAATTGCGGTTGGATGATGTACGAGAGGCTATTACATAGAGGAAACATTGTTGAGAATTATTGCATCCGTAGAAGCATAAAATGACGTCCTCGAATGCCTCCCTAGGGCATCGTGGGCGAGCTGCGCGTTAACAATCTGGGCAGAGCTGACTCCGGCAACTACACGTGCCGGGTGGACTTCCTTCAGTTCCAGACTATGATGACGATGGTCACACTTGACGTGCACGGTGGGTAATAATAAGAGAGGAAGAATTTACTGCGTTATTAAATTGTATTCATAGAGATGACTCCGGCAACTACACGTGCCGTGTAGACTTCCTCCAGTTCCAGACCATGATGACGATGGTCACACTTGACGTACACGGTGGGTTATAATAAGAGAGGAAGAATTTACTGTGTTATTAATTTGTATTCATAGAGCTGACTCCGGCAACTACACGTGCCGTGTGGACTTCCTCCAGTTCCAGACCATGATGACGATGGTCACACTTGACGTGCACGGTGGGTAATAATAAGAGAGGAATAATTTACTGCGTTATTAATTTGTATTCATAGAGATGACGACTGTCACACTTGACGTGCACGGTGGGTAATAATAATAAAGGAAGAATTTACTGCGTTATAATTTATATTTATAGAGATGATGACGGTCACACTTGACGTGCACGGTAGGTTATTATATGAGAGGAAGAAATTAATGCGTTATTAATTTATATTTTATAGAGATGAAGATGGTCACTGTTTATGTTTTAAAAATATAATAAAAATGAAACTGTGTTTTTAAAATTATTTCACATCGACAGGCATCAAGACGGTCACTCTCGACGTGCACGGTGGGTTATAATTAAAAGAAGCGATGAAGAACATAAATAAACAACAAAAGAAGCAATTAACACTATAAGAGCCAAACAATGAACAATATTTCTTTTTGTATTGACGACGCTAATCCCAAACGACGTGCATGGTCGGTTACAATACTTAAAAAAAGATGAGAACCCCTAGGTACTTTCATGTCGTGTTTTCTTAGAATTAAAGAATAAATTTGGAATCGTGTTTATGCACGTGTTGCATATAGAATGCAATTATAGAGTCTCAATTTACAAAAATAAAAAAACGTTTCACCCCCAAAAATTTTTCACCTCGATAGAAAACAACTGCCATTGCAAAAAGTAACCTAAAAATTTTTGGTACATGAGAAATCAAGAGAATTCAATGCACCAATGAATTAAATGAATGAGGAGAAGCAATGAGGAGAATGAAGAATTCAGGAGAATTCAATTCATCATTGAAAATTCATGAAAATTCTATTTTAAATGAAAATCCATGAGAATTAAATTCATCGAGTGTAATTCATAAGATTCCCTGATCAGAAATATAATTTAACGGCCGTTAATTTTTTATGCATGCAGACGCTGCATTGTTCTTCTTGCAAAATGCGTAGATGATGGAGAAAAAACGATGAATGATCGATGAGATGGGCATCTTCATATTAATTCATCCTGCATTTTCCGACGCCGGTCATTGTTGAAGCGCATGGTGTTTACTTATAGAATTGAGAAATAACATCATATACCTCATCATAAAATCAATTGTGTACTATTTTCTCATCGAATTTTTATTATTTCAATATTGGTTGCATTATTATATTGATAATAATAGTGAATAAATATTTTTACATATTAGTATATTTAGAAAGGAGCTTATCATCCAGGCACGTTTCATTAAATATAATGCCGGTTTTGCTTAAAAGTCTCTTCTAAAATAAATTTTATAGGTGCCTAACCTTACTAACTACTTTTGGTTCTAATAATTTTATAATATCACCAAAAGAATAGTTTTCTAACATTTGCGACGCGTTTCGCTCAGCGTTGAGCATTTTCAGGCAGATTCGATGAGACGCAGCTAAGATGAAAATAGCGGTGTTGAATAATTGGTGGCTGCTGACAAGAGACTGATTGAGGGAATAGTCGGCCCTGTGAGATGAGCTCGTGTACAGGCAGGATACAAAACTTCTAACTATGAAGCTTCAGGGTTCGTTGGGATCCGGTTGTTTGACGCTTTAGGTATGGCAGGCTTGGCAATATCAATATGGCTTTCATTATTTGTAATCTATTGAAATGTGTTTCGTGGCGTGAAATAATGGAGTTTCGGAACAGTTCATTTTATGTAAGGGTGGTGTCATGGTCATCTTTCACGCTGGCTTTGGGTCCTTCGGAAGCTGGATGCATAGATTGTCGTTTGGATAGGGTTGTGGTGATCACGCCGATATACAAACGGGTGCGGAGCTCACACTCTCCGCGGCTGCAGGTATATTAATTTTGTGTATAACATTGGTCTGCTTCATTGGGGGTTGTCTTGGTCCTGTATTGTTTTTTGAAATTAAGCTCGTCATTGTAGGGCTCTTGTAATAGATAAATAATTGATTCAATCTAGTCGTTGTCGCTTGTGCATCTATTGTTATTTTGAAGGATTTTTTTTCCGGACTCTCTCGTCTGTTTTGTATGCGTATGAAAATTGGTAGTAGCCCTTATGAGTTGATGAGTTCTCAGGTTTATATTGTGCTTTGCTGTGTCAAATTTTTGGAGGTAGTTGTTGAGGATGTTGTTGAAAAGTGTATTTATGTATCCGTTGCTGATTAAGGCCTGCCGTAATTTTAGAATGCCGTCGTGAAACAGTTGTCAAGTTCATAAAATTTTGTAAGTGCGGTGGATTAGAGCTTTAATTAATTAATAGTGCTATCTTTATACCATTGTGGGCATTCACTTCTGACATGGAGGTAAAACCCGTTATTATAGTTAGTTGTTGATATAGAAGGAAATGGTGAAATTTTCCCCGGCTTCTGCGTTGACGTCCAAGAAATGTATTTTATTAACAGCGCCTAATTCGGAAGTGAATTTTAGAAAGAGTCGATTTCAAATAGGTTCTTTAGTTGCAATAATGAATATTCGACTCTTTAACTATAAAGCAATCTTCAACGTATGTGCAATAGATTGAGGGTTTCGATTGGGTGGTTGTTGTGCAGAATTTTATTTTCGAGAGCGGTCATTTAGAAATTAGCTAGGGTAACTCTTGTAAGGGACTTCCCATGCTGACGCCATCGGTTTGGAAATACAATTTGCTATCTGTACGAGTAACAGGACATTCTGCGGTACAGACTATTATGAGCTTATTAAGTAGGGCCGTTTGAAAGGGGGAACGTAAAGGGATTACTGTGCTAAATCGCAGACTAATTCAATAGTGGGGATGACCGGTATATCGGGAAAAAGTGATTCAACATCCAAAGGTATAACATAGATATACATTTATATTTAATTATTCTAAATTAAATTAATAATTTTTTCACTATTTCAGCGATGACCTCTCTCAACGCACGAACTGTGCCATTGCAATAACAGAATTAAATTTCAAAAAGTTTGAGATTCAATTTGAAAATGAATAATTCTTTGGAATTACCAATAATAATTGTAGCAACGATTTATGAGCGTTTTCTTTGTGAACTAATTGACATTTGACATTTTCTATTTATTATTCCTTGTAAAATCATTAATAAAATAAATATCAAGATTTCTAATATAATATAATAATATAATATATAATAATATATCTAATATAAATAAATATATATATAAAATAATAATGATTGAAAATTTTGATTATTTTAATGATTTTATGAAAATTTTGTCTCTAGAACCAGTGGAAAGTCTCGTGGTTGTGGACCTGTATGAAAGTGAAGTGAAATCCGTGGCAGGGCCGTACGAAGAACAAAGCTCGCTTTACCTCAAATGCAGAGCTGGTGGAGGTGAGAGATATATGCACTTTGATTGACGAACAATAAATAATTAGGAGATTCTTAATTAAACAATTCATTACAGGTATTTTTGATCATTTTTCAATAAAATTATTAAAATGAAATTCCACAACATTTTTTTCCTATTTTTAGGCTTTTATTTACTGTGTCTTTTTTCGTAATGAACTTCCTAAATGAAGCTGTAGTTCCGGTAGTCAAAAATCTGAAAGCATTTATATTAAATCTAACATTAAGGGTCCTTTTGATTACATTTATTGGAAAATCGTTAGAGTCCTTCTAATTTTTTAAACGTCTTTTTTTTGCACTTCTTTCGTGCCTTTTTATTAAATTCAGCCGTAAGTGCACGATATATATTCACGATAAATTATCGTAAATAAAAGGCTATTTTCCCCATTGATTTGAAGTAACTAATGCTCTACGAGTGCTGTTTACTTTGAACACACCAAACAATGTGCACGACCGATGAATATCTCTTACAGTGTTTACAAGTAGCACTCCTAATTGAAGGGTAATTGAACTGAAATGAAATCATTCACAATTTGATTTTGCCATTTGTATTCTTCCAGGCAAAATGAATGAGATTAGAATGAACTTGACTTTACGACAGAAACGTTGCTTGCAGTCAGATGATGAAGTCATTTTGAATTATGTTTAACCTGTAATTTAAAAATAGAGATATATACGTGCGTTTTAAATAGCCTTAAATGCATAAAGTAACTCGTATATTTGAATATCGCCTTTGACATTATCACATTCCATTCATGCTGTTTTTACCTTGGCCGAACCCCAGGCTACCCCCAACCCGACTTGGAGTGGATTATTCCAGCGCCGGGATCGATCGAAGGCATTCGGCCTCCATCAGCAACATCATCGTACAGTCTTTCATCTTTCACATCTTCATCTTACACATCAGCATACACGGGATCAGGAACTGTCGAAGCTGTCCTTCAAGTTGCAGAGCTACGGCGAGGCGATCAGGGACGACGATTCACTTGCAGAGCCAATAACAGCCATCTCATCGAGCCTCGAACCCAAACAGTCTCCTTGGATATGTATTGTGAGTACAGAGATGGAACTGCCAAACTCAATTGAATACAGAAAGCACTTCAATATGGTTGGCCAATTGCCCAGTGGGGTATGATTGACTTCGCTCACTGACGGGAAACCAGGCGTGATGAAGAGATTCCGCTGGGCAATTGTCGTGTCAAACCGACAGATTCCACTTGTAGTACAATGAGATGATGACCAACTTCAGAATTTATCGTAGAATAAAATCGTGTTATGATGAATGACTGTTTAGAAATGTCAGTCGGATTAGCAAATTCAGAGGTAAGGAAAAAATGAACCTTAAAAAAGTATGATTATGTTATACATACAATTACAATCCAAGGCAATCGTTGAAATTGATTTGATGAAGTTATTTATAAAAGATGACAGAGGAACTAAAGATGATAAAAAGACATTAATTTTATCTTATAGATTTAAAACACTCCTCCTCTTTGGAGTACAGCTCCAGAGCGTATTTGATTCCATTGTCGACATATTGACGAAGTGAGACGTACGCACTGATTTGGGTTCAGTGCTCATAGATTCAATATTTTTTTTCAAGTGAAGCCGCCTCAGACTGCCTCTAATGTTGAATGCTTGCAAAGTAATGTTCTGGACCAGTTGCTCCAAAGCTTGCAATTTAAGCTGTGCGAGTTGACTTTTTAAATTTCGCTTTCATTTACTATTTATCGATTTATGTATGCATAAATATTTCCTTGCTATTGAGCTTAACATATGAAATAATAAACATAAATTGAAATTAATATTCATCCATTAAAACTGAAACGACATCTGATTATGAATAATGGGAAAAAATATTCACAACAGGTCAATGATTTTGTTTAATAATTATGTTCGTTTGCATTTCCATAATATGAGAAGCGTGAATCAAAATTATTTTGAAGTTTTATTTGAGATAAATTTAATTCAATGTTCAGGAAACAATGATGCACTCGTACATTGCAGACATCGTACCTTATCTATCACATTGACCACGATCTCGTAGACTATCACTCATATAATCATATCCCATGACTCAGTTATTGTTCTCGGTGCTATTGACATAAGTTGAAGCATTCCAAACTCGTATTAAAATACGTAAATATTTAGGTATGGTATGCCATTTTGTCGGTGACCTCTCTATCTTATTTCGTGTTCGATTAGATAAGCTAGAAATATATTTGTCCAGCCTTGTTGCCTTTACTGGATTATGATAGAATAGAATCTGAAGATTTTTGTTCCGTTTTACTACAGAGCTGTCAAAGTCAACAGATTTGAATAAGTTTGGAGTGATTGGACGAAGATCGGAATAGAAATTGGTGGTCATTTATAACTTCAATTCACATTGCGGTAATCGTCCAGAATGAAAATCGCTTCAGCGAACAGATTTTGAGTAAATTAAATACAATAAGTAATCAGGAGACACTATAAAATCTATAATTCCACAATATTTTAATGTGAGATGACAATTTGTATAACTAACCATTAAAAGGGCTAATTTAATTTTAATTTCTTTAATCATGAAACATTATATTTTATGATGCAAGCCCGTTAAAAACTATGCTGGTATACTAATTATCTATAAATATTACAGTTGCACTTAAAAAGTGACTAGTTAACAAATTAATTGCAAATTCGATTTCCGGGTCATGTTTTGTTGCTTGAATCTTCGTTGCTAATTTTTTGAATGGTCACACTTCATCTATTTAAATATGAAACTGGAGTCGAAATTTATTAAGAAAATACAAGGAAAATCATTAAAAGTTATTCCTAATATACCCAAGATTATCGCGGTTGTTTATGCACGATTACAAAAAGTGGGTATCTTAAACCTTTATTGTTATTATTAATTGTTCATAGTTAATTCCTTCTATCCAAAGAGGCATTTCATGAAATAATAAATCATTCTAGTGATCAATCACTTCCTGCGAATCCAGCTGATTATCAGAGTAAGTCAAGTCCTTAAATGATTCAGAAGCAGAAACGCAGCTGTGTCAATAAGATGGAAAACCTTTCTTCGTAATTAAGGAATTAAATATTCCTTTCAGACGGTCCTCTGGCCGTGGAACTTAATGGCTTAGACTCAGCGCTGCTGGCCGGGAAGCCGACAGAAGTCGAATGTCGAACAGGAGGATCTCGACCGCCTCCAGACTTCATTTGGACACCGAAACACCTATTCGAAACTTTGGGGCCTCCGGTGAGTTCGAATTCCCTCTCATCAGGCATTTGACATTGAAACAACGTTGGTTCAATTTTATTCCAAAGAAATTTCATTTGATGGATTACACCTATTGATATTCACTGTTTAGTATATACAAATTATAACCAGGACTGTAATACTGTTGAAAAATTTTGCAATTTTCTTATAAGTAAACTCATTTTCCCCCAAGTTATTCTTACTTTATTTGCAAAAAACTATGCTCAAAGCTCTGTATAAATGATTTATTTAACCATTACAAAACAATAATTTTTTTTATTATAATACACGATGTTCAATTTCTTATATCTTTCCTGCAAAAGATCGTAACTGATTCCGGTAACTTGAGCGTCTCGCGAGCGCGTCTGCTGGCGAGCTGGGAGGACGACGGACGGACGGTTTCTTGCACGGCCACCAACCCTGCAGTGTCCCGCTACAGCCTCCAGGCCGTCCGGAAACTCGTTGTTAAATGTTGGTAACCCTTAAAATTAAGACATAGTTTTCAGCCATCGCTGAGTGTAATCCATGAGCTTATGATGCAGTTTGAAGTCATCGTTAAATGAGAGTGATTCTAAAAATTAAGAAACAGTTTAAGCCAATCTTAGGAGGTGAGTAATCGTTGAAATGAAACCATTATAGTTTTGAGCCATCGTTATTTGTGAGTAATCCTTGAAATTAAGACAAAGTCATAAGCCATCGTTATTTGTGAGTAATCCTTGAAATTAAGACATAGTCATAAGCCATCGTCAAATGTGAGTAAACCTTGAAATTAAGACCTAGTCATAAGCCATCGTTAAATGTGAGTAATCCTTGAAATTAAGACCTAGTCATAAGCCATTGTTATATGTGAGTATTCCCTGAAATTAAGACCTAGTCATAAGCCATTGTTATATGTGAGTAATCCTTGAAATTAAGACATAGTTTTAAGCCACGTTATATGTGAGTAACCCTTGAAATTATGAAATAGTTTTAGGACAACGCTAAATGTGTGTAATCCTTGAAATTAATACATAGTCATAATCATAGTCCTTGAGATTAAGACATAGTTTTAAAATATAGTTAACCTGAGTAATCTTCGAAATTAGGACAGTTAGTAATAATAATTCTGCCTTCACACCCAGCAATTAACTTTTCAAGTTATTCTTTGAAATGACACTTCAGGCGGTTGTCTGACACGTTATCGGAAGTTCATAATCCTTTTAAACGACTCGTGTAATTTGTATGATTTGAGCAAAATTCCGTTGTGAGGACCTAGTAGAAATTTTAGTTCAATGTACTTTATGGTGCCGCAGGGACTAAGATGCACACGGTACACCTTAAATGTTCCTACTTTGAAAGAACTGCATCGCACGGAGGATGGGATATTCAGAATCGAGGATAAAAATATTGTACATAGTAGTTTTCCTTACTTAAGGCAGTAGAACAATTCATTTCGATGCTACTGTTCCGAAGCGTGTTTAGAAACAAACGTAACATGCGCTATTTTAATGCGAATCTAATGAATAAAAGATTATTCACTGCTTCACAAGCACCTAGCTGGAATTGAAGCTAGTCTGGGTACTTATTCGGTGCCAATTTTATTGTGGTAATCACGACTGGGATAAATTTATTCCTTTATTAAAATAATTATTTAATGAAGCAATTCAATTCACTTACCCGATCTTTCAATTACTCTTGACCATTGCGTATGATAATCGTGGGAAATCAAGCCTAAGCTGAATTTATTCTTTTACCGGAAAAAAATTATTTAATGATGCAATTCAATTCACTTACCAGATTTTTTAATACTCATGACTATAACTTACGCGACTATAAATTTATTTAGCTTATCGTGGGAAATTTCCGTTAACGTGGCCTCGTGTAGCAGGATTATATCTTTTCACGTCATCTCTAAATACAGGTTTCGCCTTACGTGTTGCGTAAGTCCTGAGCAGGGACTCTGATTGGCGGGTTTAGCCATGAAGGTTGTCTGTTATTGGATGACGGGTGTGCGTGATCGTAGTTATTCTTGATAATCTTCACTCAGCAGTTACTGGAAGCCATGCTTGCGTGCGGTTACAGGTAATTAGTAAAACTCTGTTTTATTTTTAGAACAAACTTTTTTTAATTTAATATTATTACGGGAATCAATGAGTGCGCTGTGCATGTGGCCAAATACGGTTCGTGCGACACGTGTAATCTGTATGTAATTTACTGCATAACTCTTTCATTGGGCGAAAAAAAAGTTTGAAAATCTGTTAGTTTAATAAAAGTCTATCATAAATTGTTCCGTAAAAATTATTTGCGCAACAATCGTTTGTTCTTTATCGAAAGCAAAAGAAACAGCTTAATAATGACAGCTTAATAATGAAATTGAAAGATAAACGTAACTAATTAACTGTTTTTAGTATACTTTCGTTCTATAACTTTAATCATGCGTAGGATAAGAAATTATGTTCATGCAGCACAGGTTACATAAAATCACATTCAGATTTTTCTTACCTCTTGAGATGCTCACACATGATGCTTCGAGATACATAAATATGGTCATAATTCCGCATATCAGACATCCTTATACTGTCTTCAATAATTATTATTTATTTGGCATTTCAAAAGTAATTGTTCATGAGCAATTCAAGTAACTACTGTGCATAGCTTCATTTTGATTCATTAAGGTAGAAAAAAGAACAGCTGAACCTTGTATATGAATTTATTTGAGTTTACCAAAAGGAAGATACTTAACTCGCGAAACGAATAAGGGTCAATCAGTGAGTTAATTCCATTGTGATTTTCTAAATCACATTAGCGATTAATGTATTTAAGTTATTGAACTGAAAGATTTTGTAGGTTCTTCGACGGCAGACAGATTCAGGCAGGACTTCGGCCTGGGCTAAAATTTTACGATAAATGGTTTCTCTTCAATCGCACTGTTTGTTGGATTGAAAATGTTAGTCACTTCCACCCACAGTTTCATTGTAAATCTTCTACTTTTTACGAAAATAGCCAACTGATGAGCTAAAAAATATAACTCAGTACTCACTGCAGTGAGTGACAGAGAGCGCATTTTCTCGTCGACGAAAACTTGAGGTCACGGACAGACGGACGGACAGACGGATAGACAGACAGACAGACGGACGGACGGACATGGCGAGCACAATAGTGTTTTTTTTCTATAAATGAGAAAATGCGCTAAAAAATAACGCCGCTAGTGGAGAAATAACCGTGCCGAGTGTGAAAAGTTTGCAACTCGTTGCCTATTAGTTGCTAAATTTTTATAGTCGTTCTTTAAAGATCAATTCTTATAAGCCCAGGAAATCATCATGCGATTGACAGGCAGAAAGAACAATAATTTGTAGTATACTGATGGTGTCTTGTATAAATGATGGTCACAGTTAGATTGTTGACGTATGTATGTTCATTTTTCTTCTTCTAGGAACTTCGAAGACCCTGTAACATTGATGGCGAATTAACCTGGGTCTCATTCCTGCTAACCGCAATACAAAAAATCCGTATCCGTATAACAATTCATATCCGTTTATTTTGACGGTCCGCAGACAACAACCCCGGTACAGGACTATAAAACATCTCACATCAAGATATCTCATTCGATTGTGGAGTTAAGAAAAGCTGAGCATGAGTTTATCATAACATCGCGTTCAATTTAAAATACCCGTGTTATTTATACGTATTTAATTTCAAAATTTATGGCTCTCTTGCCCACTAAAAATTAAAACATTGCCTGTATTTTATCCCTTACGACCCACGTACCTCGCGTGGAGGCACACTTGGCGCGTGTAACATCGCGCTCAATGGAAAATACTCGTATTATTTTCAAGCATTTAATTACAAATTTTTTTCTCTCTTGCCCTCTAAAAAATTGAAAAATTACCTGTATTCCATCCATTAAGACCCACCTCGCGTGGAGGCACACTTGGCGCGTGTAACATCGCGCTCAATGGAAAATACTCGTATTATTTACAAGCATTTAATTACAATTTTTTTTCTCTCATGCCCACTAAAAATTAAAACATTGCCTGTATTTCATCGTTTAAGACCCACCTAGCGTGGAGGCACACTTGGCGCGTATATCATCACGCTCAATGTAAAATACCCGTATTATTTACAGTCATTTAATTGCAAATTTTCTATCTCCCTTGCCCTCTAAAAATTGAAACATCGCCTGTATTTGATCCCTTAAGACCCACCTCGCGTGGAGGCACACTTAATTGGCGCGTGTAACATCGCGCTCAATGGAAAATACTCGTATTATTTACTAGCATTTAATTTAAAATTTTTTAGCTCCCTTGCCCTCTAAAAAATTAAAACATTGCCTGTATTTGATCCCTTAAGACCCACCTCGCGTGGAGGCACACTTGGCTCGTTCCCTGGACCCCGACAACATCAAGGAGGGCGACGACGCGTTCTTTGAATGCCGCGTGAACGCCAACCCGAGCCCTCGTGCCATCGTATGGCTGCATGAGGTCAGACGTCACTACCGATACCCGACCACTATACTCTGTCTTAATTAATTAAGACATTGTTTGGGCTCTATTATTTTGTAAGAATGGGTTTTCGTAGTTTTATTTAGAATATGTTTCAACTTGTTTGAAACTTTTTTTCTGTATTATCGTGAAAAATGTTTTTTTCCAGTTTTGTATAGAACATGACATCAATTACAGTATTCTCAATGGGTTTTTTCCTTATACGTATACATGTTTAGAATGCATGCCTTCTACGCTACTGTGTTGTCTATGTTAAGTAGATTCTTATAGATTGGGTGTATTTTCAGCTTTATTGTGTTGTGTTGTGTGATTGGCTTCCTCAAGTATTATTATGGGTTAAATAAGTCTTTCATGTCGTGTGTTTCAAATAAGTTCAAATCGTGTGTGTTTGAGGTATTCAAATGCAATGCCTTAATTAATTTTGTGTAAAATATTTATTTTCGTGGAGAATAAGCAACTTTTAAGTATTCTGCGTACGAACTCCTTTGAAATGAACATATGCTTTTTATTTACGGATATAATGAAGATTCAAACGCTCGTAAATAGAGCGTTTTTCATGCGCTGGGCTTGAATAGGTGTTGTCTGCTTTGGTTTAAAAACGGCATCACTACATTCTCGTGCAGTGTACAATTTAATACGGTTAAATAGTATTCCTGAAACAACGCGCTCTTAGCAATTGCTTCTTATGTTGGAAGATTGTTTCTATTGTTTGTAGCTATATTCTTAGCGTTAAATATCTATTAATTTAATGTGTAGTTGTTAGGACTGAGGTGAAGAATGTGTTCATTAAGTTGATACATTATGTTCATGTAGCTTTACATTTGTTTTGATATTCTGCCTAGGTTCGGTGCCAATCTTGATTTAGAAAATTTTCTTCCTCAAGCATCATCTATTTCCCAACGTATAACCTGCTTAATTTTTTACATTAAAGTTTGAAATTAGGAAGATTTGTCATCAAGGGTTTGATAAAACCCGGGATTTGTTCATCTCCTTCGACATTTGAAAGCGAAAACCGACTTTAATTCTGAATGTGTATAAATCTGACAGTTTTTTTTCGAATGATTTATGTTCCAAAAAATTACGAATTTTAAATAATTTAATAAGGTCCTCATTTATTCAGAAAATACGAAGGAAAGATGGGTCATATAATATTGTGCAGTATCATTAATTTCTCTAATAACAAGAAGTTTTCGATAATCAAGCTCTTCACATTTTCCTGTCACATATGCCAATTTATATTGAAAATCAAAACTTCAAGTCGCAATTCAAATTACAAATTTTTGAATTCAACATTTTTAATCGAAATCCTAAATTTAAAACGCTAGAGTTCACATCTCCTTATATACTGAGTAACATAGACTTCAACTGCATGCTTAAATCAACTCAACCCAGCTTTCTATTCGCAAAACTTGGATCAAACACTCGCTCTTCACCTCGTTGCAGCGTTAGAGACGTTAAATCCCGTATTTCCCGTCTCCACAATACAGACGCAATGGCAATCTAACTCGAAAGCATCTTCTGTCACAGGGCAAAGAAATCGTGGAGGGCTCAGGGTCAGGGAGCAGACTTTTCTTGCACGGTGACAACCTGGTCTTCCAAGGCCTCATGAGGGGAGCTGAGGGCAACTATCAGTGTCGAGTCACCAACGATCTCGGCACAGCGCTCAGTGTACCTACGCGTATCAGTGTGCAGTGTGAGTAAATAACTCAGTACAGCGCTCAGTGTACCCACGCGTATCAGTGTGCAGTGTGAGTAAATAACTCAGCACAGCGCTCAGTGTACCTACGCGTATCAGAGTGCAGTGTGAGTAAATAAATCAGCACAGCGCTCAGTGTGCCTACGCGTATCAGTGTGCAGTGTGAGTAAATAACTCAGCACAGCGCTCAGTGTGCCTACGCGTATCAGAGTGCAGTGTGAGTAAATAACTCAGCACAGCGCTCAGTGTGCCTACGCGTATCAGAGTGCAGTGTGAGTAAATAACTCAGCACAGCGCTCAGTGTACCTACGCGTATNTGCAGTGTGAGTAAATAACTAAGCACAGCGCTCAGTGTACTCACGCATATCAGTGTGCAGTGTGAGTAAATAACTAAGCACAGCGCTCAGTGAGCTTACGCGTATCAGTGTGCAGTGTGAGTAAAAACAGAAATTTAATCTCCATACGTCCAAGACCTTTCAGAATCTAAGAAGAAAGTGTACTTTGTATGAAGTCAATGAGGGTTAGACAGTATTGATAATACACAATAAAACCTAAACGGCATTCAAGTCATTGAAAGTTGATATCTTTTGTTGTCCATGAAAAAAATCGAACTAAGTGTCCCAAAATGCTTAGTATTCGATAATAATTAAAAACATTCATGATGTATATTTCATTGCTAGCGTAACTATTCATGATTTGATTTTCACGAACAAAGATATTTTCGAATTAACACGTGGATGTATATAATTTTTTTAGTCATACTAAGTTATAATTATAATAAAAAACTTCGGCCTATGAAGATAGTACGATACAGTGAATATAAGGTACAGAAATTACTACACTACTTTCGTAATATGTCTCGAGAAAATTCTTCTATCACAAATAACTTAATTTTGACTGATGGCTCATATATTACAGTATAGGGAAATTTCCCTAGATCTATAGTAACTCGGACTACAAGCGTTGCAGAGAGTCAAGGTGCCCCGAATTTCTACGTCGAAGATAACAGTGGACTCTCACCTTTTTAATAAATGGTATACAATTTTCATTGCTGGAACTTATAATCGATTTGTATATGACAGGAGACTCTCACAAAAGTATTTTCACGTGACAAGGTTACCACGTATAGTTGGTATTGGCTTCTTGAATAAGAAATAAATGGTGCCAATAACCGTTGGCCTGAATTATTGCGACGTCGAATTATTATTATTTAATTCTTCAATTAACAGCACCACAATATTCATTCTACAGATGCTCCTGAATGTATAGAAAAGAACAACAACACAGTGTCAGTGTCGCCCGATGAAGAAGCCAATCTCAAGTGTGACGTCGATGCTTCACCGAAAGACGTAAGTCTGTACAATAAAAATATTCCGGATGACGAAGTTTAGGCATTGTACGAAGCGTAAGCTTAAATGTCATAATAAAATAAATTTTGTGTTCTTCGTGTCTCAAAATTAACAAACAAAAATCAAAAAGTTATTTTGTGACAATTCAAAATATTTTTCTCTTCTCATAACAATTTCAGTAGTTAATTGCTTAGCATCGTCAATATTTTCAATCCAAACTGCATGTCCACAAAAGTAAATCAATGAAAATTTTATAAGTCGGTAAACCAATAATTTTGATATTATTGATTTTAGAAAATGGATCAATGTTTACAACAAAATGAAATGAATCAGGAACGCATTTAGTATTTTTTGTTGAAATGTATATTTTAAACTAAAAAAACTTTTTAGTCTAATCCTATGACATGACACGTGAAAACTTGCAGCAAAGTTGGCAGAAAGATATATGTTTCACCTGAACACGAAATTCCGTGCGATACCTTATACATGTTTTATTTTACGCATATTTATACTTGCACAGTTTTTTTCTTGTGGCGCTTCAGCAGATGAAGTTCCGCTGGGCCGTGAACACGACAAAAGGCTTAATTGACGTGGATCCTGTTCGTTATACACAAGACGGTCCACTGAGTTACCTTAGCTACAAGCCTTACAGCTACCAAATAATTCACCAAAACATGGAAGACGAGATGAGCGACAACAAAGAAAGCCTTGGAGAGGAAGAGGACAAAATGCCGCCTCCTGTCGAGTCCTTTGGTGTAGTGTTTTGCTGGGCGCAAAACAGGATTGGTTGGCAACGGGAGCCTTGTACCTTCATAGTCAAGCCTGCAGGTAAGATTAATGGGTTTTCGTATCAAAAGAAGGGCTTCAAAGGCCCTCATGCTCGCGTGTAAGGGCTCGTAGAGTCTAATGGTGCTGATACTGAAACACGGTGGCCTGATGACCTAGCATAAACGGGAATATTTGACAATGATGATTGAAATTATGAGAAACAGTTCACTCAGGAACGTATTGAATTCAATTTTTCACAATGAAGTATATGGGAAGAGATCCGTAGCTCATAAATGATTATCGGTGGATGATGTCGATGGAGCATCGATGAGACATCGTCGAGGCATCAATGGAGTGTCAGGCCTCTTCCACTGCCATAACATGCCACTCAAATTCAATTTTTGCTTCACTTCTCCGCTCAATAACAGGTCTTCACCATAGAGGCAGGTTTATAAGCCCTTTCCAACCTTGCCCTTTGGCCCCTTTCTAACCTTGCCTTACGAAAAATTGTATAGAAAGAAGCTACTGGAGCTCAAAGTCGAATATGGCGCTGAACTATGGGTATTTCCAAAAGATATTTTTTTACAACTAAATGTGTATACCTAACAAAGATGTTACTCACGTGATAGATTTGACTTTGAATCGTATGATCAATAGTGATAAACCATTAATGCAGGCAATAATATGATATATTGAAATGCACTTTGTAGCTAACTGATAAATAACGGAACATACTTTTTCATCGAAATGTATTCAAATCAAACTAACAAGCTGACTTTGAACCACAAATTTTTTTTAAATTAATTCCGAATCCACAAATAAAAGAAAATCCAGCTGTAAAATCTAAGACACAACAAAAGTTAAATCACTTTTCCATTATTAACATTGTTGATTAAAAAAAAGCTATGCTCCGGACAAATGGTATATATCCTCTCCTTCATAATCAACGAATTTTTTGATATTTTAGTGTTTGTTAATTGAAAAGCCGTGTAAATGAAATTTTTGTTATCGGTTGTAAATGAAACTCGATGACAGATTAAGAGAAGCTTTTGAAATTAGCAAAACGTCTCATATCTCTCGTACTGTAAAAGGTTTGAAAAATTCATATAAAAAAATTAATAAAAGAAATTTTTTTCATAAAGCGGAAAAATTCCATTGCCAACATTTTTCTATCGAGTTCGCTTACAATGATAGAAACTGCCTTTCTGACGCGTAAAATGACAGAACTCAAATGCAGCGAAGCGCAATCTCTTACCAATCCGCTTAGATAGTCACAAAGCAGCTTGTTGGGTTGACAACAACCGCATATGAATACGCCTGTAAAATATTTTTTATATATTGAATTTATTTAAGTTTTGAGGTAGAGTTATGCATTGGGGTTTGAGCTCGCGTACGTTTAGATGAGGTTCCATTATTCCATTATGTCCATATTCATATTATTTACATTTGAACAATAATAGATTTTAGAGCAGTGCTGTTTTTAAAATTTGTCACAACCAGGTGTTCAGTTACCTTGATAATTCCATCAACAAAAGAATCATCTATGAATATTTGCAATTGTTTTTAATTCATTCTTTAAATATTCTTCGTAAGAACGAAATTTAATCGTTTCTTATACTACGGCTTGAATAATCGTGAGATATCAGTCCAATATAAGATGTTTCAAAGTCCCGGCTTAAATAATCCTGAGATATCAGTTTAATGTTGGTTGTCTGAGAGCCCAAGTTTGAATAATCACGAACTATCAGTCCAATATCAGTTGTTTCAAAGACCCGGTTCGAATAACCACGAGATATCTGTCCAATATCAGTTGTTTGAGAGCACAAGTTCAAATAATCACGAGATATCAGTTTAATATCAATTGTTTCAAAGACCTGTTTTGAATAATCACGAAATATCAGTCCATTATCAGTTGTTTCAAAACCCGCTTTGAATAATAACGAGATATCAGTCCAATATCTGTTGTTTCAAAGACCCGTTTTGAATAATCACGAGATGGCAGTCCAATATCAGTTGTTTGAGAGCCCAAGTTCGAATAATCCCGCGATATCAGTCCAATATCAGTTGTTTCAAAGACCCGTTTTGAATAATCACGAGATTTCAGTCCAATATCAGTTGTTTGAGAGCACAAGTTCGAATAATCATTCGATATCTGTCCAATACCAGTTATTTCAAAGACCCATTTTGAATAATCACGAGATATCAATCCAATATCAGTTGTTTGAGAGCCCAAGTTCGAATAATCACGAGATATCAGTCCAATATCAGTTGTCCTCAATATTCCCACACAAAAGGTCCGCCCGGAGAATTGGTGTCGTGTTCGCTGGTGAACCAAAGCGCCACGTCCCTGGCTGTCAGTTGCGTGCCAGGCCACAACGGAGGACTCAGGCAGACGTTCAACGTCAAGGTATAGTCAGAGGCTCTATTTTTAACCAGTGCTCGAAGAACTGAATGATGTAATTTAATGTCTTTCTATGTAATAAATGAGCTTTACAATGTACTAAAGAGACGCATAATGTGCCAAACTGACTCATAAAGTACCAAAGCGACACATCAAGTAGCAATTAGTAGGTGGATAAAGTACTAACGAGGTGTATAAAGTACCAGAGCGACGCATGAAGTACCAAGAAGATACATAAAGTACCAAAACAATGCATTAAGTGCCATATCGACCCATAATATACCAAATTGTAAATAATTTACTAGAGCAACGCTGAGATTTACCAAAATGGCGCAAGAAGGGCCGAAGCACATCATAAAATGCTTTTTTTAGGCAGAGCAAAGCAAATAAATTCATAAATGCAGGTACCATCACGGCACTCAAAATGTTTTGCATTTGAAGACCATTTAAGCGAGTGGCAAAATATAGTTTCCGTCCATTAAAACTTCGCTTAGGGTGGTGAGATTTCCAGCCTTGATAAAGCTCTAATTGTGACTTTAGATTAATTGTAGGTACAATCTTCGTTCTAATGGCAAATGAAGTCTTTATAATAAATGACATTATCCCACGTAGGTACGTAATCTCAATAAATAAGTTTGATTAAATACCATCTCTCTAATATTTTTTTTCTTTTTGCTAGTCTCAATTTCCTGTCGCTGATGAAGAATGCACCAAGAAAAGATTTCTTTCGTTTACAAATAAATTCTTCATTTTTCGAGGTGAATATAGAAATTACAATATGCGAAATTTGCACGATCGTTTCCGTACCTAATAGAAATACTTGAACTTCCTCATTGTATTGAATCTTGAATTACTTGGAACAAATGTTCGTGCCTAACAGTAGCTAGCAAAAGGGGTGTATCGTCACACTTTCCATAAACAGCTTAAATCATAGGTTACCCCCAACCATTTACCCCAAATCTTACCCAACAAAATTAACTAATTACTTTCAATATTATTACGAACATTTACCCCCGAATCTGCATAAACAGGGTACCGATCATTTACACAATAAAATTAAATTTGTTGGGTAAGATTTGGGGTAAATGGTTGGGGGTAACCTATGATTTAAGCTGTTTATGGAAAGTGTGACGATACACCCCTTTTGCTAGCTACTCCTAACGAAGTTTGCATCAGAGATTCATCGAGTCAATTGCAGATACTGCGACACGTGTAGAGTTTAATTTACATAGAGTTTAATAACTAAATTCAGCTTAACTAGACGTTAAAGTGATTCTATCTTATAGTAATTTATAGAAGTTTGTATGAGCTTGTCACTGAAGCCTGACTCCGAGAATATGTTGGCTGTTCGAGTGCCTATCCGCGATACTTATTTAACGCATCAGGATATTGCCTGGAGATGAACATGTAGAGGGAAAGTCTAGGGCGAGAATAACATGGCATTGAGAAATTTGAGGAAAAGTTTTCTTCTACAATTTTTATCTGTTTCTTAAATTGGTATATGCAAATATAGTGGGAAATTTTCCGAGAGAGTTCAGATCGGGGTGACGGTTTCTTATTTGATACAAGTTTTATGCAAATATAGTGGGAAATTTGCTAAATAGTCTTTTCGTATTCATCCCGAACACCTCGTACTCCATGTAAAGAATTTTGTTTTAATGAATTTTCTGCAATTGGGCTGCCAGATTCACGCATCTATTTATGAAGTTTCTAGGTATACCCATAAATGTATAGCTCACAATTACCTGGGGCGGCATATATGTAACACTTGCAACTCTCCAATAACATGCATTAATTAATAGCATTTTATGGGGTGTCCTTTAAGATGTGGCACTCACTGTTCCTTATAGGACCTGTAACACGAGTCTCTAAAAGATTATGGTGAACTATAACATTTATCAATAACAGTTTCTGAAGCGATTTACTTTTGTCACTAATTGTTTTTGGTGTACGTTGTTTACCTCAGGTTTTGGACGAACTTTCTGGGAATCTTGTAGCGAACGTAACATCGGCCTCACCAGAAGTGCTCGTGACGAGCTTAGCTCCGGGCCGAGATTATCTGATCGAAGTTGTGGCTGTGAATGCCAAGGGTACTTCCAGTCCAGTTATACTGCAAGGATTTGCACTCAAAGTGGCTGAAAATAAAATTCGTAAGTTTTATATGGTACAAGAGACATTGATTTATTTTGTATAGCCTTCAAATTTTCAAATAGGGATCAGTACACTTTGCTGCATTATTTATTTTAGTGAATTCGTTAATTAATTTAGCGCCATTAAAATGTTTAAATTATTTGAAAATTTAAGTCATCGGGAAATATTTCAGTAACCTTTTTAACTCTTTTTCATTGCTGTCGTTAACATTTTAAAGCCATTTAAACTATATTATATTTTAGTAATATGACTTATACTCTTCCAGGTATTTTAAAAGGTTTACTTTAGAACACACGTCTGTCATGATTAAAATTATTCTTTGAATTCGAAGAGTTTTCTCATTTCTATCACACAAAAGTTCTGTTTTCTTTTTATCTTCAAAATACATAACGAATATTTAGACCTGCTGGTAAGATTTCACTATTTCACGAGCATATAAATGATCTTCATGCTATTTACATTGTTCTAAAGACCAAACACTCCTGCCTGTGACTTGCCACGAAGGATAGCATGACACTCCTGCCTGTTAACACCTATTTTTTACTGAGAATTTTTCCATTCAAGACAATGTAGTTACATAATTCCCATGACTTACTTTCAGAAAATATTTCGTTGAAGATGTCGTCTTCAAGCCTTTTTTTCATCTGGTCATAATTTTATGTTATTGCTACTATTGTCTCGATTGAAATATTCTCGAGCTCAAGTCATTCTATTTCAATCAAACATTGTATCATTACATAACAAAGCTTAGGTTACGTACATTTGCTTGTTTTTTTAGCGCATTTTCTCATTTATGGAAAAAAGGCGTTATTGTGCTCGTCATGTCCGTCTGTCTGTCCGTCTGACCGTATGTCTGTCCGTCTGTCCGTCCGTCTGTCCGTGACTTCACGTTTTCGTCTACGAGAAAATGCGCTTTCTGTCACTCACTGCAGTGAGTACTGAGTTATATTTTTTCTTACGATACCTAAAAATAATGCTACAAGAAATAGAAGTCATACCAAATACTGCCTTTTCTCTGGTTCAGATTCCCTGAGTCCGGGGCCAAGCAACTCCCTGCTGGTGCCAGTGTTCGCCGGAGTCCTGGCGGGAGTTTTGAGTGTAGCCATCTTGCTTCTTATTTTTACCAAAGTTAGGCGCAAGAAAAGACGCACTCGCGCCGAACTTCAGCCTCCGGGAGAACATGGTGAGCATCCGTCCGTATAATGTATACATCTATCTACGCGTGGCAGCGGGTTCCGGCTGGTGTGTTTTGGAAATCATACAGCAATATTTTATTAGCGAAAATAATAGTAATGCATTAATCTATCTACGCGTGGCAGCGGGTTCCGACTAGTGTGTTTTGGAAATCATACAGCAATATTTTATTAGCGAAAATAACAGTAATGCATTAATCTATCTATGCGTGGCAGCGGGTTCCGACTAGTGTGTTTTGGAAATCATGCAATAATATTTTATTAGCGAAAATAACAGTAATGCATTAATCTATCTACGCGTGGCAGCGGGTTCCGGCTGGTGTGTTCTGGAAATCATACAGCAATATTTTATTAGCGAAAATAACAGTAATGCATTAATCTATCTATGCGTGGCAGCGGGTTCCGACTAGTGTGTTCTGGAAATCATGCAATAATATTTCATTAGCTAAAATAATAGTCTACGTTACTGTGGTGTTGATGTTTATTTTTCGTCCAGTAGTACCACACATGAACTATTCTGGTGTAATTATACATTTTTTCAATTTTTTCCGCTGTTCTAGATCTGAAGAATTGTGTTTTAAATCTTATATCTCAGTCACCGAGAACATTCCTTGAGCACTCGTGGAATTTCTTTCAAGTGTTACATAGATATAAAAATTTGCGTAATTTTGGCTGAAAAAACTTATATCGACTTAACAGCTCCACTCTCTGGTTCATCGAACGGTTCTCTGGAGGAAGACGATGGGATGGGAGAAATAAAGACTTCTTGTCCAGCAACTTACCGTTCCAGACCACTCACACCTGAGGTGAGTCCTTATTTATATATAATTAATAAATTGTAACCGCGAAAGTCAGTTAAAAGTGAAAGAGCTGACTTAAGAGGAACTAACTATGTACCAACAAAATAATATACCCAACAGTTAATTGTTCTTATCGATTATTGTTTGGCCATTATTAAATGAATTATATATAATTCATTTATTTGGTCAATACTATCGCATTATTTATACCTCAGTCATTGTTGATATTTTTCATTATTTTCTTCAGACACCTCCAGCTATTGGCACAACTTCACTTAAGACCTACATGCCGGTCGAAACCTCCACAGGCTTTGATACTCCATCGAATCCATCTTTACCGTCAGCCAAATCTCCAGCAGAGAGACCCCCTAATCTCACCTGTTATCAAACGTTACCCACTCGTTCGAAAGATCGGTGTGGCAGCATCCCTGACGTTGCTGCTCCAGCTTGCACTCCACCTTTAACTTCTCCTTTGGATTCCCCTGTTCTTCGAGGTGAAGACGGCAATGAAAAAAATTCAAGTGGGAATTCTTTATCAAGACGAGGTCTTAGAGGTCAGCCTTTAACGGCCCTCGTGGACAGAATTGGATCACCAGGTTCGATAGGCAGCGCGACATCTCATCAGTATTACACCTTGAAAATTAACTGCACACGGAGACACAATGAGAGTTTCGTTTAATTTGTTTTAGTTTTTACGTATTGACCGTCGTAACTCTCATTTAAATAAATGACAGGTTTTAATTTGTTTTATCATGTTTATTACCGATGGCAACCTCAATGAATTTACAGTTAAAACATTGAAAGTAAATTCGAGGTCGTTGTTGATGCAAGGAAATATTTCTTTTCATTACCGTCATCTTACCTGTTTAAAGTCAATCAGAAACTAGAATTGTGTCAGCTTCTCTCGTTCTTTTATAGAAAGACTTTTCGAATAGTTTATGCAGATGAAAATAAAATATTAATTTTGCATAGGCAAGCCAGCGTTTCATTCTTTCTAATGAATTGTTGTATCTTATCGTCGATACTGACATTACAGATATATTAATGAAGATGTAAATTGCTAGTAAAGTGATGCGGTAAGATGGTATCGCCGCTTGTGATATGAAAGTTATAGATACGGGAAATTTTGCCCGAATGAGAGAAGTGTTAAGCGATCGAAGAAACAGTATAAATTTCGTGCTCGATACCTGAAGTTATCAATGTGAGGACAGGTCTACATTCATGACTATTTTCAACTTTAGAGACTCTCTATTATTCTGTAGGTTAATTAAATCCGTCAAGCTCACGCGACATTAAAATAGTACGACAATCGCAGAAATGTTGATCAGTTTTACCACAAAGAACTATTATTTGTTATTCCAGGACCCTTCGTTGTGCACAGCTAGGAAGAAATAATTATATTGGGGTAATGAAAGCTGAAAAGGAAATTGATAGGTCATTTTGCTGAGAAACGCAAATGACTTTTAAACTGAAAAACATGATATATCAAGTACTAAAAATAACTCTATTCAACTGCTCTTATGTTATCCAGGTTGAAGAAAAGAGTTTGAAGTTAATTTTGAGTCTCTGATTCGAAATTCCCTCAAAATTCTTGCACTTCAATATTTTTCCTAATATGATAAAAGTTGCTAATTTCAATTAAAAAAAGATATACTGGGCCTGAATTTGCTCATTGTAGCAGCTAAATATTTACATAACTGCGTAATTCATCAGTAAATGTTGATTATATTTGGTCCGATGATTGGCAAAAATGATCGCCTTGTCATGTATCAGGAAAATTTTAAAAAATTTTTGAACTTCGGCATGATTGATATCAATGGAATTAAATATCCCTCCTGAAGGGAATGATTACAAGGTCTTCCGGTTCAAAGACGTGCCACACAGTAAGGATGAGAATTCATTTCGTACAAAGCAAAGACACATATCCAGTAATCTATCATTAGAGTATCAGTAAGGGCTCTATTTCCTTTAAATCATTCCTTCCTCGAGAATTTTATTTTATATTCGGTATCAAGTGATATGAAAAAAGTTAAAGCGTCGATATAAATATTTTTTTTCTGTCCCAAAAAAAACAATATGTTTGTTTCGTGCAACGTTTCTGATGTAGAAAAGATTACGTTTTGTGTAACATTAAAGTATTAATTCTTTGTGAGAGCGTTTTCTTATCTTGGTTCAGTCTCAGTGAGTTTATTCACTCAGTCTTGAACTATCAAATTCGAATATCAAATCTCATTTTGTTCCTTGTGTTTTTAGAAAAATCTCCATGCGTTTCAAAAATGGATATAGTATGAATTTTATGACCATATTTAAATAGATTTTACAAATCAAAGCCAAATAATATCAATTCATAAATTTCCCCTAACGATTTCTCAAAAAGAAAAAATAAAGCATCGAACACATTAGAACAATTACATAAAGCTAAAAATTAATTAATTTAAATTATTTATGTATTGACGTTATTTAAATTAGTGTAATAATTATTAATTTATAATCATGTTTTATGACAAATCTAACTGAAATTGCAATTTTATATCTAAATTGAGATCAGATAGTTTTAAACTGATTGATTTCTCTGCCTTAATCCAAGGCACTGTGTACATATTATTAAGCGCTAATTTTGTAATGAATATCAGTGCTTACCTCTAGGGTATTGAAGTTATATCAGACATTGAATATATTCCCTTATCCTTCCAAGCGACATTAAAAACCGACCTCGTAAATTGTTGTTTCATTTTTCCGTGCAAATACTTCCGTACGTGACTCGAGCTGACACTAAACAGCATGAAGTATGAGACAATATTTAGCTGAATTTACGCCTTCCACCTTGCCCGACAATATTCCCCGCACCTTCTTCTTCCTTTTAAGCTTCTAACAACTCTGTTGGCCAATGCTTCATAAAATAATAAATTATGATATCATCAAACTTCAAATAATACAATTTTCATTCTACATACGTGACATGAAATCCTTGTGTCAACGTTTTAATTTGAAATAAATCCTTATTATCCACGAGCTCAGCCAACGTGCTGCACATGCCCTGTCTCTTATACACATCTAGATGTGTATAAGAGACAGAGNTTGAACTGACGGGCGACATCCACGAGCTCAGCCAACGTGCTGCACATGGCAGTCAATTGAACTGACGGGCGACATCCACGAGCTCAGTCAACGTGCTGTACATGTCAGTCAATTGGACTGACGGGCGACATCCACGAGCTCAGCCAACGTGCTGTACATGGCAGTCAATTGGACTGCCATGCGACATCCACGAGCTCAGTCAACGTGCTGTACATGTCAGTCAATTGGACTGACATCGGCCACTTAAAGTCTCCAACTTTTTGGTCACAACAAGTCGCAATTCCGAGAGGGCCTGAGCCGCTGACGGCTTGTGTAGAATAGAAAGAAGTCGCTCCTAAAACTGGCATCGAGGAATCAGCCTGAACTTCTTCTGCAGAATATGATCCGGACTGATACGATATTTCCGCCAACAAGCGTGAATAAATGTTCGGGCGTGTAAAGTGCGAAAAAATATTCGGTTTGTGAGGGTTTTATTCGGGACTCTTTACAAGGAGAAATAAAATCTTTTGTCGCGTTTCTCCGATTTTGGATTTACTGCCGTGAGCAGGTGAGCGATCAGTTATCGTCGATAAACCAACATTCTCGAAATGAATTTGAAATAATTTAATAAAAATATAATGTTTAGATGCATGAATCAATCGATCCACAAAGTTATGCAGTATATACAAACAGTCTGCGACATTTAACAATTCACTGGAAGGGACAGGAATCCTCAACCGAAAAAGAATTATTGACGAGAAACAACAAATGGCTATGGCATTAGATGCGCATAGATATGAATATATTATTTCGGTCGAGCATCAATTCAAAATTTTAAGTAAAAAAATCAATTCCATTTTCGCACTAATATAGAATTAGCACAATGATTAGATTTAAACTGTATCGTAGCTGAAACTTTTTGCAATAACTACAATCCATTTGTTGAGTTGAAATCAAATCCCGTTTTAAAGTCAATTGCCGTATTCATTGGAAAACTTTGGCATCAACCAATTGTTATCATTGGATTGCTAAAATCGCATACAATTCACTATATTTTCGGTTAAAGTGATGAATTTGCTTTGGAAAATTTCCCGATACGGGTGTTTTGGATGAATATTATGTATTGAAGAGAATACTTGAAATAATTTAAATTGTTCTAACTTGAATACCACGGACACAAATTATAGAATTAAATACATATTTTTAGACAGTTTCAGTACCATTATAGGTACAGTTATTATTAACAGTTAGTATTAACAGACAGTTATAGGTCCTAAAAGCTTGAGACGGAATACTTTGAATCACATAAGTTCAATCTGAGGTCCATCGCTACTGACGGCTGCAACTGAAGTCGCGTTTTAGGCCGCAATCATCGTAATCGATTAAGGAATACGTATGGTCGCGGCATCAGCCTGTAGTGCCGGCGCTGTTTCTTTGATGTCGTGCATTGCAAGATTGCCTCCCTTAAGCAAGATATGTGCGTGATACATGACGACCATTAGTATTTGACGCCAACTATTCATGTACTATATGCATAATTTAGGCCTTATGGGAAAATTGTCTTCAGAACCAGGCAATACATCAAACTTTGGTACTGCGACAGCGCAGAGAGAGTGCTGGGTTAAATAAAGTTGATTACTTCTTCAGATATCACTTGGGCAAAATTGAACTCTCAAATATATTAAAAAATTATAGTCGCAGGGTTCACGTTAGGTGACACATTTTATATAATTTTTTTGAAGATTGCATCATGTTTAAGTCTGCTGTTTTAGAAGCGTGATCGTCCAGCCTTGGGAGAAGGGTGCATGAATATTCACTTAGCTTGATAGAAATCGTGATTTTACTTAATGATATGCTTCTAATATGCATAAATTTACGTAAATTCCCAAATTCAAAGGTTGGAGAGAAATAGAATTTACTTGTGTATATGTCAAATATAATTTTAAAAGTCTAATCGATGTAAAATTTAATTAGAGGCATTAGTATCACTACAACGAAAACTTATGTACTTCTGTTAATCCCACGCATTCATGACGACAAAACGCAATAAAGATCAAAGTAAAAAAATTTCAATAAAGTACCGATTGCAGGATGACGTTGTAACATCGAAATGAATTTCGTCAGCGGTTCATCGATTGCATGTCTGACCGACATACTACACTCCTGTAACTCTCCGATATCCAATCTCCTAACTTCTAACAAAATTCTTCCTCCAGCGATAATTATTGGCCTTCATTATCGATAGGACATCGTTGTTCCATCGGTTGCATCCGTCAACAACACTCACAACTGTCTACTACGTCTCCTACATAAACCTCAATAACAGAATCCTTAACCTCAATTTAATATTAACCTCAATTCAATACATAAACCTCAATTCAATATTACAGTAATTATCTTAATATTACAGTAAGCATCTCAATGTTAGAGTAACAATCTCAATATTACAGTAGCGATCTCAATATTACAGTAACCATCTCAATATTACAGTAACAATCTCAATATTACAGTAAACATCTCAATGTTACAGTAACCATCTCAATATTACAGTAACAATCTCAATATTACAGGAAACATCTCAATATTACAGTAACAATCTCAATATTACAGCAAACATCTCAATGTTAGAGTAACAATCTCAATATTACAGTAACAATCTCAATATTACCGTAAACATTTCAATGTTAGAGTAACAATCTTAATATTACCGTAAACATCTCAATATTACTGTAAAAATCTCAATATTGCAGTACCCCTCACAATCTCAATATTACGGTAACAATGTCAATAGTGCAATAACTATCTCAATATTACAGTAACCACTATATTATTATAGTAATCACTACAATATTATAGTAACCATCTCGACATTGCAGTAAATATCTCAAAATTACAGTAAAAATATATAAGCAAATAGAAGTATTGAAAATTCGCCTTGATTTAAATGAAAATATTATGGAGTCCTGAAATTCAGAAAGAAAAGTAAAATATATGTCTAACCAGAAGAATAAACATAAATAGCATGATAAATATCTAAAAATATATCGCTTCAATATTGCAAGAGAATAAGAACTACAAACATTGTTGGACAAAAACTCTAGATCCACACTAAAAAATAAATAAGGGTTCTTCCGTGAGCAAAGGCTAATGATTAATAGCAAGGCAGAAGAATGATCAATAGTAAGGCGTTTCATGCAGGCGGCCCAGCAACAGTTTGTGATTGTCGGGGAGTTTTTTAAGGCCTTCCGAATAGGAAGAGTTCACTGTTCATAAACAGATTATGAACTTTCCTTTGAGCTTCTGACCGTATAGGCTATTTTTCAATATCTGAATTGGTCTGATAAAAGTCGACCGATCCTAGTATAATTTTTGGGAAATCTTATTAGAAGCTCCTACAATGCAATTACCTCCTTCGAGCCTGTTTCATGTAGTTTTTCAGTTTCATGCTCAATTTGTTTGAAAGAATTCAGTTCAACGTAAAAGAAATTTCCTTCAACTGTCATAGAAAAAGTTTGACATTTATTAAAACTCAGTAAACTTAACCTACCTACCGGAAATGATGAAGCATGATAAAGTACTTCAGTAAATACCTTGAGACTGAACACGCGCAAAAGATTCTCACAATTTTCTCGTACATTTTATTCCACTGAATTCAAAATTTTTTTCTGAATATTAAACGTAATTATTTGCGAAGTTCCTAAAAAGTTATAATTCCTAAGCCTTCTGAAAACTTGGCACTCACTTTGCATGCTGACTGCTAAGCCGTGGTTTTCGTATTATAATATCACCATTCATATATTCCTTAATGAAATAATTGTAATAAAAGACGTCAGTCGGTTGCATCGAAATGCAGATTGTACATCCAAATTTCTTTCATCTCAGACTTCATTAATTTCAACCTGATTGTCATTGCCGACCGTCCGTGGCTTATGACAATAATTTCAATCTATGGAATGAGCTAAAATGCTAACTAAACTAAAAACGTCATTAGTTTTAGAATTCTTATGTTCTTTTCTTCTAAAAAATATTTAATGTTGTTTTGTTATAGGCCATGAGGAGCAAAATTAAGGTTATAGGATATTTCACAATTCTCAGTAAAAAAAAAACATTCACGACGCGCGTTAGTGAACCAATTTAGAAAACAGAGCTTTTTTCTGAAATTATTCTAAATTTTCGAGTTGACAATTTTGAATCTATGATTGACCTTTAAAAATAACTAAATCGAAACTATTTCATCTCTTGCATCAAAGATTCTGAAAAATGTTAACCCTCGATTTATAATTAACATGAATTAAC